CCAAAGACAAAAACAAATTCAAAAGCAAGAATCCAAAGTCCAATCGGGAAAGTTCTCAGCCTAAACAATAAAACACACTCAATTAGAATAAACACACTCAAGTAAAGCTCGAAAGCTCCAAAACCGAGGTTTGATCGTAAAAGAAGTCAGAGTTAGGAGTGAAGTTCAGTTTAAGATCTACAAGTAGTAGGTTGGTGTTCTTCAAATAAAGAATATTTGTAACCAGTTGGACATAAGAAAAATAAAGATAATTTTTTTTTTATTGAAAACTTATGGTGCAAACATTTAATTATATACATATTCATCTATTATATATTTTTCCAAATTTTTCCTAAATCCCTCCTCCCTGGTGTCGCACTTAATTAACATTGGTCAACAAGTTTAGATCGATATACACATTTTTGTACAAAAAACACGTTTAAAACAGAATAAAAACAAGAAAGCAAAGCTAACTTCGGGCGGAGCCGAAGTTTATATACCCTTGCAGCTATAACCGGATATATATCGCAAACATCGGATATAGTTGGCCGATCCTTATGATTACATCATAATAAAACCAATTAATTACAATAAAGAATCTAAAAAAAAGTCCCAAGCTTCTATCTTCAAAAATTCGAAAGTTGATATTTCTACCAAATACCATTTCCGATCGTTCAGTTATATGTCAGCTATAAGATATAGTCAACCGATCGTTATGAAATTTGGTAGATCGGATTGACTGACCAAAAATAGAATGTGTACCAAGTGCCAGCTTTCTATCTTCAAAAACACGAATGTTGGGTCATTTCCGATCGTTCAGTTATATGGCAGCTATAGGATATAGTCGGCCGATCCTAATGAAATTTTGTAGGTCGGATTAACTGGCCAAAAATATAATCTGTACCAAGTTCCAGCTTTCTATCTTCAAAAACACGAAAGTTGGGTCATTTCCGATCGTTCAGTTATATGGCAGCTATAAGATATAGTCGGCCGATCCTTATGAAATTTGGCATGTCGTATTATTTTGCCAAAAATAGCTCTCATGTCAAATTTGAACTCTCTAACTCTAAAAACACCAAAGTTATACCATTTCCGATCAATCAGTTATATGGCAGCTATAGGATATAGTCGGCCGATCCCGGCCGTTCCGACTTATATACTGCGTGCAAAGGAAAGAAGGGTGTGTGCAAAGTTTCAAGACGATAGCTTTAAAACTGAGAGACTAGTTTGCGTAGAAACAGACAGACGGACAGACGGACAGACGGACAGACGGACAGACGGACAGACGGACAGACGGACATGCTCATATCAACTCAGGAGGTGATCCTGATCAAGAATATATATACTTTATAGGGTCGGAGATGTCTCCTTCACTGCGTTGCACACTTTTGGACAAAATTATAATACCCTCTGCAAGGGTATAATAAGTAATATAGAATTCAGAGTGGAATTGGTTTAGCGAATTGTTGGTGTTTTCGTTTAATTGTCACAAGCCAGAAACCGCCGGGACCTAAATTGTTTGCGTTTTATGTGGAACGTGCTTGTAAATTTTTCGAAAAATTATTCACTAGCTGAATAAATACATATATTTTATTATTTTTCTTTCATAATTGAATTTGCGGGTTTCGCAGTTTATTTTGGAGGAAATCAAGAGCAGAGTCATCGGAGTCATTACGCATACGCCATGTTGTACTGTACTGACTCTCCATTTGTGTTCTTCCACGTCTGTTTGTTAATTTTTAAGCAAGGAAGTTTCTTTGGCAAGCATTTACATAACATTTTTTACTTCCTCCACGAGGGTATCTGAGTGTGTGCCTCTCTGTCAGCTACTTGCATAAGTTAATTTAGTGTTTGTCTTCGGAGGAGTTGCCCGTCTCCTTGGCTCTTGCTTTTCCTCCTTTTTTTTTTCGTTTTAGTTTGTTGTGTTGGAGCAGCATTTGAGTGTTTTTGGTGTCACCGAGTGCAACTTTTGGCCTGGCCGACAAGGCAGTACATTTTATGTATGCAGCTGCCTTTGCAGAGCTTCCAACTTCTGCGCCCCATAAAGTATGCTAAGATAAATATCCGACAAAAAAAAATACCAGCTTTTGCAATGGAATTGAATTTTCAGCTTTTAAAAATGTAAAAAAATAATGTGTTTTTAAAAGGAAACTCGTCGAGCCACAAAACTCCTCAAAGAGCTCTGCTCTGCTTCTCAAAAGGGCTCAATTAAAATTTCATTAATGGCCCACAAAAAGTCCTGATCAACAAAATAAACATGTAGACATGTAGACTAAGAGTGGCCCAAAGGAATCTTGACTTGGATAGGCCAAAAGAATTTCTGTGCGTCGGATTGCAATTAATTTACGCAAATTTTCCGCCCCTCCCACATGCATGCAACAGACTCGAGTGTTGCATGTTACTTATGCCGCTCTCGTCAGCCAGAGGAAGCAAACTTTTGGGGCAAAACTGGTAATGGAATTCCAGTCAAGTCGACTGAAAATGATTTGGTTTGTTTGAGGGCCTGGCCAGGCACTTTAAAATTCGTCTTTAAGCCGAAATATACACCACACGGCATGCAAATTTGTAACGCTTACAAGGTAGACAAGCATCCACCTATTTTATTTGCTTACATTATCCACTCTATTGGGTTTTCGGAGGTGGCCCCCAGCAACCGGCAGATATTTTGCAAAACTACCCAAGTTGGCAACTTAATCATCACTCAGCCCGCCCAAGGTTGATGCGAAACGGAAATGAAGTTTTGCTTTCCTTCCTGCCTGCCACCTCGCCCACCTACACATGTACATGTGTATGCCGACTCCTTAAGTAGTGCCACAGGGGATTATTGTTGTTGGCGCTGTTGCAGCAGCGATAAGTCTCCTCCTGGCTGGCATCCAAATTCCGCCTGGCAGGGACGAATGATGGGAAAGAAATGGCTGCATTTGAATGGGACGCTCCTGACATGTGTAGCCAAGCAGCAGATGCAGAAAAGCGGAAGGAAGTCTGTAATGAGAACCATTTTCTAAAGGGCGGGCTCTCGAAACACTTTTTAAGACTCAATCATTAAGCGACTAAAGTTAAAAAAGCTTCTTAAATATTCTCCCTGTGCGGCAGGGATTTAAGCCAATTAAATGCACTTTGTTGGCCAATTAAAATGTGGGCAAAAGTGAGTCTGCCGCGTCTGGGCCAGGCCTAAAACATATATGCCATGTGCATAATTGAATCGTAGTGGCAGAGGCCATCTCTCTCCAACCATGTTGGCTGTCTCTATCCCTCAATTATGCTGGCAACGTCAACAGACCGAGATTGACTTAATTATGTCGCACACTGAGGCTAACATAAAAACACACACACATGAGCATTGGGGCAAAGCTTCAGATACAGATGCACAGATACAGATACATCCACACTTTCCGCGCAAAAAGGAGAGAAAAAGGTAAACAAACACGCGCTACGCTTCCCGCGTTAGTTGAGCGTTGATTATGCAAAAATACCAGAGAGTGAAGGGAGGGTGGTGAAGCTGCTGCTAAAGAAGAAATTATAATTACAAAATATAAAGCAGGCACTTGAGACACGTTGGCAGCCAGACAAGGCAGCAGGCAGGAGCCAAGGATCGGCAGGAGCGAAATCCTAGTTTGGTTAGTTGGCTGCACCGGCAGGTAGGAGCTTAACGAGTTTTGTAGGCGAGGTGCAAATGATGGATGTAAACAAAAATTTGTTAAATCCTTAAGGGCTATAATTAAGATAGTTATTGCCAATCAATATGCTTGACCAATTAAAGGACCTATCCTCCGATCAACGGCAATTGTGAATAATTGGTGCGAGTGCTGAGGTCCTTTGGCCTGAATGGCAATGGAGGGATTCCTTTGGGGCCTGATTGTTCCCGCATTCAAATTCAACTAACCACACGCACAAAAGTAAAGCGTGCCAACCAGAAATAATACGATGAACCGAGTGCTTAGCCTGGAGAAGGGTGGTGGCAGTGGCAGCTTGCATAACGCTCTGTCTTCTGTTTTCTGTCAGGTGCACGTGGCTGCACTCGTACTTGCATAACTCAGCCCGAAAGCCGCGCACTAAGCTCTTAGTTGGGGTCAGGCTTTGCAATTATAATTGCATTCAACCCGGACTGAGACTTGCTCGCTGACTCGGGCCAGGAGCAGAAGCAGAAGCAGAAAACCGTGCCAAATGGAGGAGGACTTGGCGAGTTAACTGCGGCCTGGATGTCTAACTAATTTGGCATGGCATACTTTAAGGCGCATACTCACACTTTGAGCGACAAATTAACGCCGCATTAATGACACGCGAGGTTTGCAACGCGCTTGCCACACCTCTCTCCTCCTCTCTCTGTCTTTGTCCAACACTTAAGGGGTAAAGAGGCAGAGGTAGCGGGGAGCAGGGAGCGGTGGCAACATCCGGAGGTTGCTGTGCGGCTTCCGTTGCGCAGCGGAAACTGCGGTAACGCCCCCCACCACGCATATATGCCATAGAAAACAGCTACAGCAGAGGCTAGGATAATAGAATCTATAGATCCTACTACTGAGGGGGTCTGTATAATTAATAGTACATAGATATCCCTATCCCTAGACTAGGGATTATAGCTACAGTACACCTACAATTACAAATACCTCTCCGTTCATAATTTTAACCGCATCTGTGCCTATGAATGGAAAAGAGTCGAATAGGGAAGAGGTGGCCATCTGCGCCAAGCGGAAAATTAGGCAACAACTCAAGCCCATTGAATTATCGCACTCGGCGGAGGACAAACCCAACAGATAGACAGAGGGCCTAGAGACCAGACATTGGGTGGAGGAGGAGGAGGCGGGATAACAGACATTTTGGGAGGGAGGACTATTCAAAACGCAATTTGGCTCGCTCCTTGAAATGCACTCGAGGCCCGAAAACGGAAGGCATCAACGAGTGCTTGCTCTCTGCCCTCCGAAGTTCTCCTCCTCATTAGGCAATCAATTGGCAATCACCACTCGAACGTATCGACAAACCATTAAACAAGACTTAAAATCCTCTATTTCTGTGATATCTTGCAGATCATACGCGAACGACTGCCGGATTATCCGGTGAGGAGCAGCCTGGTGTGGAACAGCTCGCCGGGTGCTCTGCTCACGTTGCCCACCTTTGCCGATAGTTCAAGGTTAGTAGCCAACATAGCACAGCTAGTGAGTTATAACAGCCATTAAAAACACGCCAATCGATTTCATTCACCTTCAGATACATGCCGTTTCTGCTGAACTCGATGGGTGCTGAACCGCGACACAACTACACGGCGGTTATTTACGTCCAAATTGGCGCCGCCCTCGGGCCGAATGCAGCGCTCTATAAACTAGTCAAGACCATCACCCGGAGTCAGTTTGTGGATCGAGTAAGTGCAAGATGTTTTCCAACATTTAATACAATTCCTAAACAACTCTCCCGTTCAATCAGATTCTTGTGCTGTGGGCAGCGGATCGGCCACTGCCATTGAAGAAACGCTGGCCCCCCACCAGTCACATACCTCTGCACATTATTTCATTGGGCGGTAGCACAAGAAATCAGGGATCGGGAACGGGAACGGTAGCGGGAGCGGGAGCTGGACCCACAAGCCAGACGACTGAAGGACGACCGAGCATATCACAACGTTTCCTGCCCTACGATGAGATTCAAACCGATGCTGTGCTCTCCCTGGACGAAGATGCCATCCTTAATACGGATGAGCTGGACTTTGCCTACACAGTGTGGAGGGATTTTCCGGAGCGCATTGTTGGCTATCCGGCCAGAGCACATTTTTGGGATGATTCCAAGGTAAGAATCCGATTACTTGATTAATATTTTCAATCCTTAACTAACAGGTATGTGTGTCTATTAATTGCAGAACGCCTGGGGCTATACGTCCAAGTGGACGAATTACTATTCTATTGTGCTAACGGGAGCGGCCTTCTACCACCGCTACTACAACTACTTGTACACAAACTGGCTGTCGCTGTTGCTCCTTAAGACTGTACAGCAGTCCTCCAACTGCGAGGATATCCTAATGAACCTGCTGGTCTCGCATGTGACCAGGAAGCCGCCGATCAAGGTGACGCAGCGGAAGGGCTACAAGGATCGGGAAACAGCCCGTTCGCCGTGGAATGATCCTGATCACTTCATCCAGCGTCAGAGTTGTTTGAACACCTTTGCGGCTATTTTTGGGTGAGTTTTTGCTTAGTAATTAACTAACTTAATTATAAGGAAAGTATTCCAAAAAATTTTAAAGAAATATTTATAATTCTTAATGCCTTATGCCGTGTGCTTCAATTTATAGTTTCTTATTTTTTCCGCTCTGATTTAAACAAATATCCATCTGATTATTCATAACTTAAACCTAATTGCCTGAATATATTCTTAAATTTATATTTTCTTATTTTTTCCGTATACATTTTAATAAATCTCTCTTGTCTTTAAAGTTTAAACTCCAAAAAGCAGGCTATAATTTATGTTTTCTTATTTTTCCCGCCATTATTTAACCAATATCCTTTCTGATTTATCTTTATAGCTATATGCCGCTGATACGTTCCAATTTGCGCATGGATCCCATGCTATATCGTGATCCAGTTTCCAATTTGCGCAAAAAATACCGCCAGATCGAGCTGGTCGGCAGCTAGCGATATGTGCATCCTGGCAATAGCTACAAGCGTTAAGAGTACTGACTACATACGTATACACCACAACCACACCCACACCCACACCCACAGCAACACCTACAGCCACATTTACACAAAAACCAAACACGTACATAAGTTTAGATGAAATGCTGTTTACTGACGCTGGCCAAGCGACGCAAGAAGTATGTTAATTATTATTAGTAGAAACAACTATAACAAAAAAAAGGGAAAAGTAATGAGATGACCTTAGTTAGGAGCCACCCCAAAACGGGCGTATGTAAATGTATGTATGTGTACATCGGTGTAAGCGCATCCAGAATTGCCATCACATATGCAATTCGTGTGTATATATAGACTTTAATATATGATTATGTGTATTAGCCCAGTTAACTGCAAGCGAAGGAGACGCTTGTGATTTTGCCATCTTTTTTGTGCTAATTACAAATTAGCTAAGCTACACAATTTTTCTACGAGAATGCATACATACAATACATACATGTACCATGTAAAGAGATATATATATATATGTTTAGGTATATAAGTAGCCGATTTTTTGTACTGTGCGAGTTGAGTTTTTTGTATGTGTCATTGTAAATGTTTGTATGTCATTGTTGTAACTCTCCTCCATGTATAGTTAGTGGTTTACCAATGTGAACGTGAATGTGGACATGGCAAGTATTCTCAGTTCGAGGCTCACGCTAAGGCACCATCAAATTCCGTATCGATTACTGATTTAAATGTAAATTTTGATTAACTATGGCCATTTTATATACTATATATATACATACATATATATGTAGCAGCAACAGCAGCAACAAGCAGCAACCAAGAGGACGAACGAAACTCTTTCCAGGCCATTATCCAACAAATCGTGCACAAAGTCAGTAGAAGCGAGGCAATTAAATAATTCTAAGTTTTAAAGTTAAGTAGCTTTCCATTTCCAATTTGTTATGTGCAATTTTTATTTGGACAATTCAGCTTTTAGTTTTTAGCGTGGCCATTTTACTAATGTACGTAAATCAATTACCAATATGCAATCAAATTTTTGTATCATAGTGTCGCATATCAAAGTAATACTCCCCGAGACCAGGGAGCACCAAGTTTTATGTTTAAGAAACCAAACATTTATATATATACAATATCTTAAGTGTGAAGATATTTTTTACAACAAATATACACGATTACCGATGAATTTGAATATCATTTGTTTTATTTAATCATTTAATTTGGCATTTTGTTGACAATACGTGAAAGAAGAGCAATAATAATAACAATTAAATGACTGGCTTCGACATATCACAGAATTTAATTAATTATTTTTAATTATTTTTCGTTTTATTTGCTAATAGGATGACAAACCTTTATTTAATATTTATTTATGGCAATTTCATTACCAGATTATTGGTTCTTGAACTCTAGAATGGCACGGATGCCAACCAAGAATGTTGCCCAAAACCCTCAAAACTCTTGACTGCCAAACGGCAAAATTGTTTAGCATTTATCAGTCAAATATGCTTATCGGCAATATGAATATATGTATGCGAATAGTTGCTGTGGATGTCACAACATGACTGCACCAAAAAGCAACGGACATAGAGGACAGACGGACAAACGGACACACAGACTAAGGGACTGAGACGACAAATGCAATGAAATGTTCCCTATCAGCATGCACATAAATCAAACATTTCAAACAAACATTTTTGCCGTTGACTACGAATAATAATAATCAAAAATGCCAGCTATATGGATATGCATATTTGGAATGTGTGTGGCCCAAGGCGAAGGATATGCACAACACATATACAGTCATATACAGAACAGAGACACAAACATCTACATACTTATACACTGATACATATATCCTTATGGATATATGCAACTGAAACTGAAGGAAATCAAATTTTGTACAGTGCGTTTTATTTTTTGTATCTGCGTGTAAAGTGTATTTGTATTATAACTCGTATATATAATTGTATTTGAGAATTTGTATTTGACACAGAAACAGAAAACAGAAAACAAAAATCAGAAACAAACACAGAAACAGACAATTGCACTTTTTTATACAAATTTAACAAAAAGATAAACATAATAAACAAAAAACTTAACCAAGACAAAAACAAACAAACCAAACAACTTGACCAAAAAATATTGAAAAGGCTCCTCGATCCCGCCCCGCCCACACAATTAAGCAATTGAAAATGAGAGAAAAAAGCCAAAAAAATAAATACAAATTAATTGCAAAAGCCATTAATTAATAATAATAAAATAGTTATCGCAGCCTGCAAAACGGTAATCAAATTTATGGCATTAACATTAACATGAAGCAGCAACCTGGACTCCTCCTCGCACCAGTCTTGATCATTGAAATACGAATATATGGATAAATGGATATATGGATGTTGTGATACGATCGATAATACATATAACCTGGCCTGTAACCTGGTATCCCCACAGTCCTTGTCCTTACTGCCCTCCCACAATAACTGACGCGTATTTATCCACTTTACTCGCATTTTTTGTTTGAATTCATTTCATTTCTCGTCACTGGGATAATTGTGCATAATCAATTATTTTGCCACATTAAACTGGACACGTCCAGGGCAGAAAAAAATCCTTCACTCCACTTACTTATTATTCCGATGGGTTATTCAATGAAATGAAATACATTGCTGTTGGTTTTACATGTTTGTTCGCTTCATGTGCAGATTTTTGCATAAATGACAGCATGGTCGGGACTCAACCTAAAAGGGTGCAAAATTAATGGACTTATGACCAAAAGGAAGCAAAAACATGGTTAATATTCAAAAATAGCAAATCGTTTTAATTATTCCTACCAGTGCTTAAACTTCTAATGGGTCGAAAGGATAATTTGCATGAAATGGGATGACAAAAAAGACAATAACGTATAAGAAAATCAAGGATACGAACTACTCCCAGTTATTATGTTTACTGTGCATGTGCAGACTCTACCAAATGTAACGATAATATCATTTTGTAGGACAAAAGCTACTGCTTACTAATATGTATCTGTGTGTTGGCTATGCTTCAATAAAAACATATCTGAGCTTAAGATTGATACTCTGAGATAGAATCACTCACCCAGCAGCCCATCATCGCCCCATCAAGACCTACATAGATACTCACATCTATCTTTCCGTTTCCGATTTAATTTAATTTTGAGAATTTATTTTCATACGAAAATGTGAGATTATTGGAGATAATTAATGGTTTTTAATATAATTTTCCAAAAATAAATAACATTTGAAATTTGTACAGAAATCCAACCAAAAAGTAAAGGAAAATACAATGTTGAACCGCAAATAAAATTAAATCAATATTTATATATAGTGAATGTGCTTAAAATATTGCCTAGTAATGATTGTTAAAGCTTAAGGCAAGTTTACCACCCACTCCCACACAGACAGACATTCCACACCCACATACCAACACACACACATGAATAAATGTAAATTACATAAATAAATCCATGATTGCGGATACCTAGTAAGCGTAAACCATAAAATATTGGCAAAACATCGCAGCAGAAATAATATATTATATATATCTATATATATAAAAAAACAACAAATGTGATTTTTAAATAAAAATTTAACTGAAACTTATATGCATTTGGTTTTCTCTCTAAATTAAGCTGCTAATGTATTTTCAATTAGTTAAATGGCATCTAAGGTGGAAGAGCAACGTGCAACAAATACATTGCAGCTAAAGTTTTCCCAAGGAATTAGCGGCAAACTATCGGGAAAGCGGAAAAATTTTGTTGCTACTCCTCGTGTTGCTGCCTGGTTTGCCAAACTATCAGGATAAATTATATACTGTATGCACATGTACAATTAGACCTCCTTCCCCAAAAATCTTGGCTACGCTGGCAAATTAATAAATTGCACTACCATCTGAAGCCAGCAATGGAATTTTGTGGTTCGTATGCGTTTTTGCAGTTTGGCTTTGTAGCACTTATCATTCTGCACTGACGATGTGCTGTTGCAAGGCTGACGTCAATATTAATGGTTCTGCCATATAATTAATTTAGTTGGCAAATGCTTTTATATTAAAAACCATGCCACCCTCTCTCCATTATTGCATTTTATGAAATTATTCAAGGGAAATGGTGTACTGTCACAAGGAATGAACTGATGGGGGTCGGTAAGACCTCAAAGGAAAATTTGGTGTCAATTATAGTTGCATTTAATAGAAACGAGAAGTAATTTTATTTGGTGTTTATATAATTTGAGTAACATATTCTAAACGCTTTTTAATATGCATTGAAAATATTCGTGATGGGTTAGCACGGGAAGGTCAGTCACACTTATAAAAGCAGCGTGTCCCCATCTATGAATTAGATTTAGATAATAAATAAAAACTTTTTTAATATAAATTGGGTTTTTTAATTTTGGGTTTAAAATATATACAAATCTGCCTTTTAGGCTACTATACCTACATACATACATACCTAGATACTTATATGTATCTCTACCAATTCTTCTTAAAGAAGCTACAACTTGTAATATCTCTTCAATTACTACAACATACAGTGGCGGATTTAAGGAAAAAGGCCCAGTGGGCAAAATTTTTTCAGGGTACATTGAAGGGTATTTTGAAGGGTACAGCCCAGAAAATTTGACAAAAAATCTTAAAAATATTTTGTTCCCAGATTTTGATGCAGATTTATGGAGAATCGATCCACAAATCGTTTAAAGTATTCCGTTCAAGAATCGGATGAATATTTCCTAAGATATGGCCTTCGCAGTGGGTCATATGGGGCTCCCCATGCATTTTGCACATTTTGAAGGGGACAGCCCAGAAAATTTGACAAAAAATCTTAAAAATATTTTGTTCCCAGATTTTGATGCAGATTTATGAAGAATCGATCCACAAATCGTTTAAGGTATTCCGTTCAAGAATCGGATGAATATTTCCTAAGATATGGCCTTCGCAGTGGGGCATATGGGGCTCCCCATGCATTTTGCACATTTTGAAGGGGACAGCCCAGAAAATTTGACAAAAAATCTTAAAAATATTTTGTTACCAGATTTATGGAGAATCGATCCACAAATCGTTTAAAGTATTCCGCTCAAGAATCGGATGAATATTTCCTAAGATATGGCCTTCGCAGTGGGGCATATGGGGCTCCCCATGCATTTTGCACATTTTGAAGGGGACAGCCCAGAAAATTTGACAAAAAATCTTTAAAATATTTTGTTCCCAGATTTTGATGCAGATTTATGGAGAATCGATCCACAAATCGATTAAGGTATTCCGTTCAAGAACCGGATGAATATTTCCTAAGATACTGCCTTCGCAGTGGGTCATATGGGGCTCCCCATGCATTTTGCACATATTGAAGGGGACAGCCCAGAAAATTTGACAAAAAATCTTTAAAATATTTTGTTCCCAGATTTTAATGCAGATTTATGAAGAATCGATCCACAAATCGTTTAAGGTATTCCGTTCAAGAATCGGATGAATATTTCCTAAGATATGGCCTTCGCAGTGGGGCATATGGGGCTCCCCATGCATTTTGCACATTTTGAAGGGGACAGCCCAGAAAATTTGACAAAAAAATCTTAAAAATATTTTGTTCCCAGATTTTGATGCAGATTTATGGAGAATCGATCCACAAATCGTTTAAGGTATTCCGTTCAAGAATCGGATGAATATTTCCTAAGATATGGCTTTCGCAGTGGGGCATATGGGGCTCCCCATGCATTTTGCACATTTTGAAGGGGACAGCCCAGAAAATTTGACAAAAAATCTTTAAATATTTTGTTCCCAGATTTTGATGCAGATTTATGGAGAATCGATCCAAAAATCGTTTAAAGTATTCCGCTCAAGAATCGGATGAATATTTCCTAAGATATGGCCTTCGCAGTGGGTTATATGGGGCTCCTCATGCATTTTGCATATTTTGAAGGGGACAGCCCAGAAAATTTGACAAAAAATCTTAAAAATATTTTGTTCCCAGATTTTGATGCAGATTTATGGAGAATCGACCCACAAATCGTTTAAGGTATTCCGTTCAAGAATCGGATAAATATTTCCTAAGATATGGCCTTCGCAGTGGATTATATGGGGCTCCCCATGCATTTTGCATATTTTGAAGGGGACAGCTCAGAAAATTTGACAAAAAATCTTAAAAATATTTTGTTCCCAGATTTTGATGCAGATTTATGGAGAATC